CTAAGCAGGCACGTGGTTATGCTTTTATGTACGATTACATATACATTTGACGTATGTACTATTCATAGCGAGACAAATTGTAACTAATTAGGTATGCAAAACAGTCTACTTCATTAAGCTTTTCACAAACAAATGTGCAACATTTGCATTTATTACATTCCGAATATGGCATGCAGCAAAAAATATTTAATGAGCTATTTTTTTTTAAAGAATTACATATCTATGTACATGAAGAACATTTAAAAATTATGCATTTACATATGCATATTAGTCGAAAATCCTTTATATCAATAGAATTCAATTATGCTGAGTTTTTGTCAATGCATGGTATGTCTATATGTAAACTGCGCAAGTATTTGTTTGAACTGCTGAAAATTTGAACTGTAGAGAAAAAGTTTTCAATGATTTCTGCGAAGTTTATAGAAAGAAGGTTACGGCAAAAGCAAAATCTTATGTTTAGTGACGAAGTTGGCTCAATTTTATGGGTTGCCGAAGATTTTAATATAAATTTTTATAATTTTAGCTATTAAACAAAGTAAAATTTTGACTGTAAAATTCCAAAACCTTGCAGTACAAATTTTTAAAAATGGTAAAAATCGCAATCAAAACGTTCTGAATAGTTTCATATCGAAGAAATGTATTTTGTTTTTCAAAAAATTTTAATTTATACAAATAAGTATAAATTTTTAACAAAAACTTTTATAGCTATCAACTTTAACTTTTGGTGTCATGTAAAACTAGTGGCATGAGAAAATAATGTCAAAAACGTTTTATATTAACAAAATTTTATAAAAAAATAATAGAAAAAACCGCTTTTCGTATAATTTCTTTGTCTGCTAAAGAGCTTTTGAAAAATTGATGATCCTCATCTTGCGAAAAAATCGTGTTTCGAAATTCGAAGTGGCGAAAAAGTGTACAGTGGGATGTTGTGGATAAAGATTTGAAAAACGTGGTATGTGATTTATATTAAAATTTTGTGGAAAATTTAAATAAACATGAGATATTGTAGAAAATTCGTTAACCGCGTAATGTTATGAATTTAATGATACTATTTTTTTTAGGCTGAAAACTTGAAGTTTTGGTGGTATTCGGCCAACTGGACCTTGGTTTGATCAAACCCTGCACAGTCGCATTTTATTGCTGGGCTTTGTCAAGTGTGTGACTGGGGTCTAGTTAGTATGTAAGATCAAAAACAAAATTTGTATAATTTGTGTTTTCTTCTGTATAAGAAATGTGTTCCATACTAACATACATAAAGAAAAAAATTATTTTGTTTTATTTTATCAATAAAAATTCCACACACTGTATATGTGATGAAGTTGGTTCGGACTACTCGAAAATATTTGAACAAAATCACGAGGTTCAGTAAAAATGTATATATTATACTTGTATGCCTTACACCATGATAAAAAAAAGAAAAGTAGTTTCACTCAATATAAAATTGTCAGAAAATCATTTGTGTCTTATTTTCATTTTAACTTAAAGATATTGCCACTTTAAAAATATATCCTCTATTTAAAAAAAAAAAAAATGCAAAGATATTATTCTCATTAAATTTAGGAAAGTACAATGCAAACCCTCTTTCGCGAATATGTTTTATTTTACTTTATTTTACTTTATTTTTTTTCGGAAAAATTTTGTATTTTTTTTTTTTATTAATTATTTTAAATTTAGAAAGTTGAAAATCTATTTTTTAATAATGATATTGGTACCGCAAAAAAAGCAAAAGTCGAAAAATCTCTTTATGTTGTATGGTTAAAACTTTTTAAAACGATTTTTTAGTGAAACTACATTGTTTTTTGTGTCATGCTTGATACCCTGACACAAAAGCTTTTAAGGAAAATTTTGTCTCTAAATGTATTTACTCAGAACTGGTTAATGTTGCTACTTATAGGATATTCAACTTAAATTACTTTTAAGGTTAGCCTCTAGACAGTAACAAAAATATTTCAGTCACGTATGAATGTTTTAAATTATTTTTATTTGCCTTAGATGGCAAAAGTAAGAAAATTGGTAGATGTTTTTTTTATTAATAACAAATTTGAAAAGTTGCCAACTTCTTTATACCGAAACTTAGGCTTTTAGATTTTTTCGAAATCCCTGGAAACTGTCATAACTCGCTTTTACTAGATTGGTCAACAGTAGATGTCAGATAGATGAGATAGATGAGGAGCAGTAGGTCGGAGATTACGTCTGTCACTTCCCAGCTCTCAGTGCAGTCAGTTCTCATTTTCTGGGAAATTTCTTTCGGATTTTTTGACATTCAAACATTTAAAAAATATTAAAATTCTCCACATATTTTTTATTTTTTAAGAGAAAATGGTAGAATGAAAACGACGAAACACGTTTAATGTCAGATAGCTATGAAGCTGACTGGAAAGATAGAATGGAAATCCACTTTCATACATTTTAAAATATGTAAATAAATGAATGCTGATGTAAGGACCAGGTTATATGGTGCAAACATTAAAACCTTCCAACCAAGTTCTGGCGCTGCCAAGGTGAAACAAAACATTTTGTGGGTGTTTTTCTTTAACGACGAACCCAGCATTAACCCCCTACCGCTCAGCCGACCGAGGGGCGAGTCTGAGGCATAATCGAAAAATCCATCAGACCGGCGACCGTCAGCCAGTAACAGTGTATTAAAATCGTTACACAAAGATCTAAAAGGGTCGTGCAAATCAAAGTTTGTTCTGCATGAGCCCAATTTCAGAAGCGTTTCATAGATAGTTATTCGATTAACATCGAAATATATTGAATAGTTAGCATATCCTAAATGAGTCTAATCTGCGACGCGAGTCATATCAAATGCCTCCGCTTTATACTGACACTGACATGCCCGTCTTACTACGCCAATGGCGGAATTTCATCGAATTTCCGGAAAGACATCTAGTAAACTGATTCTGGAAAAAGTAAAAGAAACCACGCCTGCCTTTTAAGTGCTGCTCCAATAAAATTAATAAAAAAACGAAGTGGGCAATGACATTAAATGCAATAAAATCCACCTAAAGTCAAATAAAAATTCAATGAGTTTTCAAGAAAATAATTCCAACATCAAGCGATAAATATGATTGAACGCCTAATTCAGCTGCTAGTTTACGAGCACTAAATTCCGCAAACACATTCATTTATATGTATGTATGTACATAATTCAAGAGCAAAGACGTTCTTGGTTGTGTGTGACTGCCTGGTTGCGGTTTTGTTATAATTCGCAGTAAACTTTCCTGAGCGGATACCTCAAACCCACTTCAATTTGGTTCTTCAAATAAATTGTTTAACCACATTTTCCAACAACAATAATAATAATCAGTAAAGATGCAAAATAATAACAACAAACTTTATATATCTTAACCCTTTCACTGCTTTTGATATTTCAGAAATTATTTATTGTCAGAAATATACTCTGCCGATGGGCGTTCGCAAATTTAAAAAAATTAAATGAGCTCTTTTAGTCAGCTTTTCACCATTGGTTAGGCCAGTACTCGAATCCTGTATGCGGCATACATGGCTAATCACTCGACTATTGTCTTATTACTTAAAAATTGAATTTAAACGATGCTGAAAATCGTGTCATAATAGAAATAGACATCGACCAAGATGATTTTACTTTTATAGAAACTTCAAGAAGTGAGTCCGGTTATCCTTTTGGATTCCCACCTTCGTGGAATTTATAAAGACTGATGTTGCCAATCAAAGGTGTTTTTTTGGATAACAGCCTTCACAGCTTTACTTTATACAACTAAAACTTTGCATTAATGAAATCACGTTTTTTTTTTTTTTTTTGAAGAAGTGTAGGTTTTACCTCTTCTTTATATATTGGAATTCTGTGGAGGAATGGCGCCTACTTGATCGCCGCTTCCGGAAGTCATTAGTAAATCTAAACAATTCGGTGCCACATGTCACACAACACGAGCGAATATGGTCTTATTGCGTGCGGAGTCACGGTAAAGCCATTTTATGTACGTATATTTTCGAAACTGCAAAATGGATAATCCTGTGCATATTTATTACACTGAACTGCTTAGGATTTAAATTTAATGGTTATTAATTTAATTTTGATTTAATTTCGGCAGTCATTTGAGTTGGGAATATGTACTATGTAAATTTTTTTTTTAATTTTTAGTAACTTTCTGTGAAAGTGTCTTTTTTTTAAGACACCTACTGAAATATTATAAGATATTTTCAAAACAATGCAACCATTTTAACGAAAAGAACTGCAACTTTAAAGGTTTTTCACACCAAAGCTTTTGGCCTAAGCAAAGGCACTTTCAATTTTTTTTGAATTTTTAGCAATTTCGAAAATCAGTAAACAATTTCGACGTTCAACAATTCAAAAACTGTTCGGAAAGTGTTAAGAGTTTATAATCCTTTTTGTTGTTGTTTATTGCGCCTTTCATTAGTTTCCTTACACATTTCCTACTTTAGATTTGTATAGGAGTATATATGTTTTTATTAACGAACGGAAGCATTCTTATTGCCTTTCTATACATTCATTAGAGGTTTTGTTAACAACTTACTCTCGCATCATAATTTACAATAATAATTAGGCAATAACAATTTCATTTATTCATTTTATTCAAGATTAAATAGAAGTAATTTATTTGATTTTGTGAAAATGAGAAAATTTGTTCATCCCATTGAAGTGATTCAACAGTTGCCTAAGTGCTCTTCGAACAATTCAATTGAATTCTACTTAATTCAATTGGTAATTTCCTGCATAACAGTGAAGTGTATGAAGATGTAGAATTGCATATGCAAATTCGAAACCAAATGTAAGTTTTCATGTTTCTTAAAATTAATTTAAACACTGGTACAGTGTTCAGCAAAAGCCACAGAAAAAGTGGATTTTCATAATTGAGGTATCAAAGGAAGGGAAATCACTCTAAACTCACGGTTTCCTTCTTTTTTTGGAAATGTAATTTTAATTTTTCTTGACTTTTTTTTATATATTTCTTATAGTATTTTAATTTTTTGTTTGCTATTTCGTAAGTAGATCCAGGTGGGATAAACTGTTGAAAAATTGAAGAACGTAGCAACCTTTCTTACAAAACGTGGCCACCAGGCCGAAATTAGTAACCTACTCGTACTCTGCTGCAACAGAATTTATAAATTTCAAAACCATCATGTCGTCGTCAGTCTCATTATCAATATTAGTTTGCCTCGAACGTCTCGTTCCATTTTGATTTTTAATTTTAACATGGGACAGATTAGCGACTAATATAAAGAGATTGTATTTGTGTGTCAAGAGGGATCTAATTATTATTTGAATTTTCAGCCTGTAGTAGTCGCGAGTGGTAAGATTAATCCTTCACTGTATTTCAAAACTAATATTATTTGCTTTCTAGATGGAAAAAGTTGTCTCCAGACTGTGATGTTTGTTCTCTTCCTGACTGTTTGAAGACAGTAGACATTACTATTCGACGTGTCAAGTCTGGAGAGCTAAAGGTATGGTTCGCGAAGTCAACCAAATCAGAATATTTAATTAATTTAATATTTAATTACAGTATTGGCAACTGCAGTATCTGAGTTGGCAACTGTGGAGCTAAAACTCATGGGTTCGACCAATATTTGGAATTTGGATTTTTCTAAATGTCCTCAAGACGCACAATAAAACTCAATTAACCGGTTATTAAACTTTCAATGAAGATTTAAAAATCGGAGTAGATGTGTACTTATCTTGAAGGACTTTTCCAAAATTTTTCATATTATACCTTATAGCCTATAGTGGTAAATCTAAGCAAGGGTCGTCAGTTCAGGCCGTGGCCTAAAAAAATTTAATTATTTTTCTTGCCAAATGGTTCACACATATATCAATATGGACTCTTCCAAGCTCACATTTAAGATGGGAAAAACAGTTGTATTGAATATGGAACGGGCCTGTTCAAATTGTTCCAGAAGTAATTCCATGTTTTCGAAAGAAAATTAACACACTTTCCCACCACTCTTTGCGAGAGTATGAAGACCCATTTTAAATCATTTTTAGACTGCATAACTCTCAACGATGCGATAGACCACAGCACAAGGGGGGTCGGAAAAAGAAAGAGCCCAAGTAACATAAGTAAATATGATGAACTTGAAACAGAGAGAAGTGAGCCTGCTGAATGATAGTGAAAGCGTAATACCCGAAATGAAGAATTCGAAAACCCTATCCATGATGATGATGGATAAGACGTTCCTATACCAGATTGTGACGAGATTTTAAAATATGGGCTTGGGAAGACGAGAGCAAGTACTTCATAACTCCCGTTTTGTTATATGGCGCAGAAGCGTGAACGATGTCGATATCGATGCCGATGCATCGGTACTAGGAGTTCTCAATGTAAAGATTTCTCTGAAGATTTTCGGCACATTGAAAACGGCATGTACCGCCGTACGATATATTAGGTCTACCGGAAAGTTCTGTCTATTTTTGGAATAACAAAAATTACAAAATACTCGAAAACTTCCACACCTATCAAAAATGGGTTGTTGAGCTGAATTCAGCCTTTCTGCAATATCCAATATTGTTAGAAAAGGATCTTGCTCCAACATTGCCTTAAACATCGTCGTCGATCAAAAATAGTCGCCCAGAACGTGACCTATCCGAAAGGTAGAAAACACCTATTTTAAATTTTTGATAAAATCTTCTGAATGTCCTATCAAAAACTGTACCTTCACCAAATAAATTCAATAAATTTCTGGATGCTTCTGTAGCTTTTCCTCCTGGTTGAAATTCTTAAAAAATATAGTGGCGTAAATTAACTTCGTTAGTCGCCATGGGCATACCCTTAAGACTATTGTGATTTAACTTTATTATACTTTATGTGCGACGCCAGTATGAATACAGAAAGCAATAAATATATATATCCGAATATGAAATAAATAAACATATGCTTACGTGACGCAAATGATGTCATAGATTCGAACAAAACTCTCCGATAGGCCTAATATATGGTGACATGGATATAGTTCAGTGAATAAAGGGTTAGCGGCTATGCTCAGGTGGCGACAAAGAAAAGTCCCACATAATAAGTTGTTCATCTAAAATATTGCCTATTTTTCCTACACTATATACCATCTTTTAAGGCTACAAAAATATTCAACACATTCGTTCAAAGGAGTAAGGTCCAATCATAATGCTGTAAGTGACCAAATGGCTTCAGTTTTTGTGTGAGCACGACTTTATATGGATGCAGGTGAGAGTGCAAGTGCACAATACACCATAACTTACCGTAAAAAGTCTCAGCTCACATGAATGTCGAAAAATAGACACGTTGAGAGCTTCAAAGATTATGCGAATCGTAACGTAACTGTAAACGGTGAGCGCAACAGTGAGATGATGTCAAAATTTTTTTTTGCCCAAAATGAAAGAGCTTGACTTGAATGACATGTGATTTCAACAAGGCGGTGACACATGCCACACAGCACGAGTAACAATGGACTTATTGTGAGGTGAGTTCGGGGATCATTTTATTTCACGTTCGGGACCGATAAATTGGACGCCTAGATCGTGCGATTGAAGGCTTTTAGACTATTTTTTGTGAGGCAATGTAAAATTAAATGTCTATACAGACAAGCCCGTTTCAATTGACGCATTGGAGGAAAACATGGATGTTTTTATACGTGAGAAACCGGCCGAAATGTTGGAAAGAGTATGCCAAAATTGGACTAAGCGTATGGACCATTTGAAGTGCAGTTACGATCAACATTTGCATGAAATAATCTTCATACGTTAAATCATATTCGATTCAAATGAAGATTTCATGCATTTTTTGGATTTAATGTCTTCTATAGCTATTAAAAAATCACCCTTTAGTACGCATTGCTTTAAAAAATATTACAGAGTGAGATATTATATCATATATGGACAGGGAGTACCACAAATTTAAAGTGCAAAGCTTATTGAAGGTGTAAATAAAAATGAAAATACATCGATCATATTGTATTTTGCCTAGAACCATCCAATTTTGTTATACAAATTTGTGTAATTAATATGCAAATTAAGCTGCTTTGTTACTGACACACTTACTAACAGAGCAAAAACTTTGCCAACCTGTTGCTATGTAAAACTAATAATTAAAAGTATTTTTTTTTATTTCAACCAATAAACGCTAGTTTAAATGAAGAAATGAACAACCAATTATATGAAATATTCCAAATTGGTTTTTGTGCAAATATATATTGAACTATCCGGCATGGAAGTTCTGGTTTGAGATTTCTTTGTTTGTGCTTAAAGTAATAAAAACTTTTGTAGAAAAAGTCTAATTTTTAAAGCCCTCAAGTCTAAATACAGTTGTAGCTAAGCAATGTTTGTCTGTTAGTATTTACAAACATATATAATACATACATACATACAATTCAACTATGTGAGCATTCGATACTTTCATATTTATGCACAGCCACCAAGCAAACCATATCCTGCTCTCCTGCATGCTATCTATCGATGAATATGTCTGTGTACACAGGCTCAAATTTTATATGCTCGATTAGATATTAAAAGCATTTGCTTTATATTTATATTTAATCGGCAAATATTTTGCCAGAGAAGAGTATATAAGAATGCTGTGCCTTTACCAGTTTTTTATGTACATACACAAATATGTTTGTATGTGTTAGAGTAGTTGAGTTAAATTCATACAGAAAATCTTGTGCAGACAGCTCTGCAGTAATCCAAAGAGTAGTAGAATTCGGTGCATCGAATACAAATGGACATTTTGTATGTACAAGTAAATGAGTGCGCATGAATTTATACTCGCTGCAGTGAACTAGTCCGCAAGAGTATTTTAAAGATGAAATCATACCAGTTCGCTATTTATACAGTGTTGCACCTATAAATGCTGTAATACTAAATTCCACGTTAACAACATTCGTATATTACTGTTATTCCTAGTAAGCGACTGGTGAGTTTCATTTTCGAAAGTACACCGTACGTGCTCACTTCATCGGCATTTATGTTTTCATTAATGAACTAGTATTTAACTAGTATGAAGCTGATCTAAAGTCTGACAATTAACATTTCGTACAATGTCGCCATATTAAAAATACCAGTCTTTAACATTGGGAAAATGATGGCGAAAAAACTTCATATGAGGTAGGTAGGTCGTAGGTAGTGGGTAATATAACTTATAACTAGTTTCTTTCGCTGCAGGGCTTGTTTGTATGAATATTGATTTGTGTATTTGTGTGTTCTTTTTTTTTTTTTGGTTTTGCCAATTTCGGTAGCACAAAACCGATTGCTAACAAATGAAGAGAAACCATAAAGTATTCAAAGAAAATTGACTTTTGAAATTACTTATGGTCGATGGAATCATGGCTACAGCAAAACAACCAAAAAGGCCATATGCATTAAACCGTACATTTTCGGCAATTATATTTGTATGAAACATATCCGCTATACACACATGTATACGTGTATATACATGTGAGTGTCGGATATCTGTAGGGATTCACATGCAGAATCAATTTCAAACAAACTGTATATTTGACTTATGCTATTAGAAGTTTTAACTTAGCAGAACCTTATACATACATACATTCTTTTATGCATTGATGCGGAGGTTATTAGAATATAAAAAAAAATCATATGCATTTTTGTTACAAAGCTAAATTTAGATAGGAGGAAAAATTGGTCAAATACTCTGATTGTAGCCAGACAGTCAAAAATATGCTTACAAATTCTTAAATTTTTTTTTAATAATTTATTTGGAGAGATCCTCAGTCTTCTCAAAAAATGTTTGAAGAAAGTCAGACTATGGTAATATTGTTTTCGGTCGGTGTAATAAATATTGGTTAATTGGTTAGTGATTATTTTGGCACCAAATTTAGTAATTACCGTAGCTAGAATTATCTGACTTACGTCATTTTGCTTCATAACTTTTTTGCTTTTTTAAGTTAGTGTCTTACCTTGCGACAATCGATTTTTACAGTCTTCTTTTGAGATCATTCTTCACTAGCCAAATCATTCGCCATAGACAGTAACAGATGGTAATCACTTAGTACAAACTGCGGACCATAAGGTGGTGGCATGAGAACTACCCAGCCGTTCTGGTGAGCCGCTGTTGATGCAACTGGTCTGTCTTTATCCTGATGAAAATGAATTCCCCACTTGTTGGCGACGAGCTTTTTACTCGTTAACTTATGTGGCACCCCTACATCAAGCTTCTTTGTGCATCCAGCCTTTATCAATTTGCTCTAAAATTGTTTGTGTGCAATGTTTAACTCATGGGCAATCGAAAAAGTGCTTGCAAGATGGTCAGGCTCGACACCGGGGATTAATTATGATTACTAAAGTTTTTCTCATCAGCATAACGGTTTGGGCGCATAAAATAATCCAATGAAATTTTTTGATAATTATTTTTTTTTTTTATTATTATGGAAAAGATTTTTATGTTCACATTTTCAGATACACATTTCATTGGATAAAGTTCTCTGGTATACCATAATACTAGTAATAGTTGGAAAATATTTTTCTTAATTCCTCGCTTTTAATTAAAATAATCACACCGTTTTGTCTTTACCACTTTATTGTAATATCTCAACTCATGGCTTGCCTTTAGGCATAATTCATACTTTCCACATTGAGTTGAGTCTATTTTCATTCAAAAAAGTTTATAATTAATTTAATACACT